TCCCCCCCCCCCCCATTTTTTAAAAACTTGCCAGAGGGTACATATGCTTGGTGAAGAGAGCTGGAGAGGGAGAAAGCGTTCCCCGGGGGCATGCCACAGTCCCTTTTCCTCCGTCTGTCCTGGGATTTTGGGCTCACTCACATATACCCAGCATGTTTTTCAAGGCCCTGGGCCTTGGGCTTGAACTACACAGACAGCCGTGTGGGGTCCAGCTTCCTAACTACCAAGCCAAGGCTTGGCCCAGTATGACTGTTGTTTTAAAAAAATTACCTCTAAATGACAAACTATTCTAATTTTTACAGTTTTGTATTTAAAGATAGTGGCAGAACATGCTAGAAATTGTAAGTGAATATCAACTCATAAAGTGACCAGCTCAGACCTGCAGAGGGCGTAGATTTTTGTTAAGGTGGCTAGATCACACTCGACCAACTGCACAGTTGGAGTCCTGGACCCGGTGGCTTGCAAATGACGCTGGATGCATGTGCACCTGTATTTCCAAGAAGAGAGTGGAGGAGAAGGGATTGCAACCTGGCCATCCACCAGAGGCGATTTCTCACTTTCCCTCTCTTTCTCTTTCTCTCTGGCAAGCGTACATGCCCTCTAGTAGAAACTAAAGGAAAAGAAAAAAAGTTTTAGAAAGCCACCAGGTAGAGTCTCGCTGTGGCATTACCTTCCAAAAGGCAGAACTTCCGTGAACGAAGTCTTGCCGGAACCCCCTGGCAAGTTTAGCAGTTTTGGGTACTCCTCGCTGCTCTCGTTGCTCTGCAGACCGTGGTCCTGGTGCAGGAGTCCCCGTGCTGCACGCATTCTGGCTCGTGCGGCCCCGCGACGAGCGTTTCCAGTTCCCAATGCCTGAGTCAAGTGGATATGTGATTAGAATGTCAAAAGATTTCATTTTTCTCTTTATTTTATGATTTCTTATTTATGTTTACTCATTGTCAAGAGACTTTCTTTTTTTAAAATTAATAAAAATTATTTTATTTATTTATTTATTTTTAATTTGACCAGAGAGAGAGGAGAGAGAGGAAAGTGAGAAAGCGAGTTGCCCGATCCAGGACTCAGATCACAGCTGGTCCTCTGGTAGTCCAGCTCCTCAACTGCCACGCCACCTGCTGGCCCCAGTTAACTTATTTTTAAAAATTTGTTGTAGGCCGTGTGCCTTCACCAGAGAGAGAGAGGAGTAAGAGGGAATGGGAGAGGGAGGTAGAGCGAGCGAGCGAGTACCCCGAGGGGGATGCCCACGCTGCAGTCCCTTTTCCTCTATTTTCCTGTTGGGATCTTGGGCACACATGCACCCATGCCTGGGAGTATTTTATAGGCTGCTGGATTTGGGACTCAAACCATGCAGTTGGCTATGTGGGATTCAGCGGCTTTAACCATCACGCACCTGGCTTGCCCAGTCAAAAAATTTTCTTTCTTTCTTTCTTTTTTTTTTTTTTCTTTTTTGAGAGGTTTTTTGCTACAGGGCGTGTGCGCTTGCCAGAAAGACAGAGACAGAGAAACAGAAAGTGAGAACTCACCCCCTGGGGGGATGGCCACGCCGCAATCCCTTCTCCTCCATTCTCCTCTTGGGATCTTGGGCACACACACACGCGCGCCCGGTGTGAGTTTAATCCGCCGGGTCCGGGACGCGAACCATAGTCGGCTACGTGGGAGTCCAGCAACACAGCCGTTATGCCAACTGCTGGTTCCAATTACTTCTGTATTTTTACGGAGACTGTTGAGTGCTTGGATAGAGAATGCTCCCAGGCAGCCTCCGTTTTCTCAAAGTCTGGCGAGAGCGCAGGTGCGGGTGAAGGGAGGGAGGGTGGTAGGCGTCCTCTCGGCTGGCCTCCTGGCTGTCCCCCCCGCCAGTCTCGTGGCTGCGAGGTGCGTGCTGTGGGACAGTTTCCGGTCAGTCGTGCACATGCTTGGAGCAATTGCTGGGTGTCAGAGTCTGACAACGACTGTTAGCTCAGCCACTGAGCAGCACCCTCGTCGGGATGCTGACCCCGTGCTGTCGGAAATCAGCATGTCACCTTTGACTCCGACACTACCTTCTAACCACCGCCTGTTCACGGGAAGCCTCGCAGACAGCACAGGGAACACGTGCTTTGTATGCTATATATGTTATGTGCTGTATTCTTAAGTCAGTTTGAGAAAAAGAACATTAAGAAAACCACAAGGAAGAGAAATTTACAGTGTTTTATATTTTCCAATTTATCAAAATTGGATTTTATAAAATGATAACTTACTGAAAAAAATCCGCATAAATGATCTTTTTCTAAGATCGTTAAAGGGCTCAGCAGAGACAGTGAGAAAACACTCCCCGGGGGTCATGACATGCCGCCACCCTTCACCCTCCCCTCCCCATGCTGGGCATATGCACATGTGCCCAGCGCATCCCTCGAGCCCCACGTCCAGGACTGAAACGGTGAGACTGACCCTGTGGGATCCATCCTCCCTAACCTCCACATCAACTGCTGGCCTCTGGATAAAAATATTTCTAAAAGAGGAAAAACATCTATGTATAAACGGACACAGCTCGCGCGTACCAGGTCGGTCGTTTCCCCTCTGTCACTGACGCCTGTCGCAGCTCCTGGAAGCGTGCCGTTAACTTCAAAACAGGTGATAGATTGACCTTTAACAGGCCACACTGCTACATTAAAGTGCAGGCTCAGAACTGGTTTCCGATATACGTCTTTGAACCTTGTAGGTCGGTGGGGACGGCCGCCCTCAGGCCATCTCTGCTCTGCACGTCCATGTCAGGCTGCCGGACTGAGGGAGCTGTAGGGATGGAGTCTGCCCTCAGTTCTGGCTCGTCACTGTCCTCGAGGTTAGCAGTGAGCTGAAGGGGATGTTGCTTCTATTGGTCATCGGAAAAGTCGTGACATATTTTTCTGTGTTTTTCAATGCAAAAATATTTTATGACTTTCCGACAGCCTGTAGTTGCGTGTTCTAACATGGATGGGAGATTAAGCACAAGCTCAGCTGCAGGTAGGCTGAGCTCGGGAGGTGTGGAGCGGTCCCCCTGTTCCTGTGCTTACGGTAGTGGAGAGAGGTGAGGCAGCAGGACTGGCCCGTTTAACCCGAAAGAGGTTGGGTGTGACCGTGTCGCAGCCGTATAAGCCATCCCGCCATCCGAAGCCAGTAGGTTTCTGGGCGAATCCCCATGGTCCTGCTGAGGCCCTGCTGACCTCTGGCCTCCTGGCAGGGCAGTGCGGGAGTGGAGGAGGCGGTCCACACGCTCTCAGGCCCCTTCGCTCAACGCCTGGCATTGGAGTGCTTGCAGCCTGACCTTCAGGTACCCTTTGGCGTGCTAAGTGCAGGACAGAGTTCCCCTTTACAGTGTGTGTGTGTGTGTGACAAAGACCCATAAATAAGTTGCGTGGAGGGTTACACAACAATGGTCTTGTCACAGGTTGTCCTGGCCAAAGGGCCTCCGTGCCCAAGGCTGGCAGAGAACTGGCACAGGAAGCGGCTGGTCTTGATGCGTGCTCGGCTCTCGTAACTGCAAGGCAGAGACGTCGGGGAGCTCTGTTTATCTTCTCCAAGGGAAGCGCCTTCCTCTGCCAGCGGCCAAAGGCCAGTTCAGTACAGAGCGGGCGCTCTGGGCCGTAAGCCACACCCAGGGCCGCTTTCCTGGCCTCCCGGTGTCCGTGTCGGACCGCAGCACGGGAGCGGGCGGCTCGGAGCACACGGTCGGCCTTCACTTACAGGCTCCTCCCGCTCCTCGCCAGCCCGTGATGGCAGTATTTCCTCGTGGAAAGGGGTTCCGCTTCCCATTTCCTGACAGTTAGGAGCAGAGCTGGTCGTAGCGTCTGGGTCTCGGGTGCATAAACGGAGCCTGCACCCAGAATGACGCAGAAATGCCCGGAACCTTCTCCGTATGCAGTTCTGGGTTTGGTTAGAGACTAAGCGGTAAGATGGTGCCCATGCAGTTCTGGGTTTGGTTAGAGACTAAGCGGCAAGCTGGTGCCCAGCTCACCAGGGCGGGCTTTTCTTTGTTTCTTTTTTCCAGATTTTTTTCTGTAGAGCACATGTGCTTGCCAGAGAGAGATATAGAAAGCAAGAAATCACCTCCCAAGGGGGATGGCCACACCACAATCCCTTCTCCTTCCGATGGCTCGCTCTGTCTCATAATCTTAAATTGCTCATGTTCTCAGCCTTGTGCTGTTGCCACTGTGGGCCACGTCGCTTCTGTGGGCCGTCCCGTGCACTGTCGGTGTTCAGCATCCAGCTCTGCCCGCTGGGTGGCAGGAGTACCCACCACCACCACCAGTCATGAATGGCCAGAAATGTCTGCCAGCCCCTGGGACACATGGCCCCACCGAGAAGCAGAAGCTCTTCCAGAGTGAGGAGACCTTTATGGGAAACTCCTGCGAGAGCTCTCTCCCCGACCCCCCTAGGCTCGTTCTGCCCTCCCGCGTGGAAGATTGTCATGCAGGCTGTCACCTCCGAGGTCCAGGGAGGGCAGGACGGGGTACGGTTCCAGGAGTGCTGCTGGTTTTACCACGGCGAGTCCCTCGCTGGGTGACCCTGGAGACCCGAGCAGCGCGGTGGTAGTCCTGTTCTGCTGCTCCCTCGGGTTCAGAGACGGCTCCCCTCTGCCATCCTCCCTCCCTCACCTGGATCCTGGGGACACTCCACGGGCGACTCGGCCGCGCTCCCGCCTGGGGCTCCCGTGGGCACGCTCTCTCACCCTAGGCTCTGCTTTCCTAGGGTCGTCCAGTAGCAGGCACCCGAACCAGGCGACGCCGAAGAAGAGCGGCTTAAAGAACGGCCAGATGAAGAACAAAGACGACGAGTGCTTCGGGGACGACATCGAGGAGATCCCTGACACGGACTTCGACTTCGAGGGGAACCTGGCCCTCTTCGACAAGGCGGCGGTGTTCGAGGAGATCGACACCTACGAGAGGAGAAGCGGCAAGCCCCCCCCGGGAGACGCGGACCCAGCAGAGGAAAAGGGGCCAGCCGCTCCCGGGGCGTCCCCAGTGAGAGGCCGGCCCGCTACCGGCACGACGAGAACATCTTGGAATCGGAGCCCATCGTGTACCGGCGCATCACCGTGCCCCACGGCGTGAGCAAGGAGTTCTGCACCGGTGAGTCGCGCCCACACCGCGGCCGCCCGCCCTTCTCTTACGCTGGAAGCCCCTTCCGGAGCCAGTGTCGCGCCCCAGGGGCTAACCTCGCTGGCTTGGCGGTGGGCCTGGCGATGCTGTCTCTTGGAGGTTGTGGCCAGAACAGCATCCTGCCACCGGCCGCGGCCCCCGGCCCGGCAAGCCTGGTCTCCGCTCCACCGGGG